TTTTCCACTTTTTAGAAATTTTTATTTTAACTCCTGTTGATGAGTATCAACTTTACTTTTTTTCCTTTCTCTTTCTTTGACGTTTTTTTTTTTATTTTGTATTTTTATTTATTATTATTATTTTTTTAGATGGAGTCTCGCCCTGTCGCCCAGGCTGGAGTGCAATGGCATGATCTTAGCTCACTGCAACCTCAACCGCAAGCGATTCTCCTGCCTTAGCCTCCCGAGTAGCTGGGATTACAGGCGCGTGCCACCGCGCCCGGCTAATTTTTTGTATCTTTAGTAGCGATGGAGTTTCACCATGTTAGCCAGGCTGGTCTTGAACTCCTGACCTTAAGTGATCCTCCTCCTTCAGCCTCCCAAAGTGCTGGGATTGCAGGCGTGAGCCATCGTTCCCAGCCAAGAAACCCCTTTTCTTAGTTGTAACCAGAACGCATCTTCTTAGGCACCAAGATACTGTTTCACTGTAAACTCAAATGTCCTGACATCCGTCTCCTGTCAACTGGCCATTTATAGAAAACCCCTAGGTGAAAGAGGAAGCTTTGCATCTCCCAATCAGCGTAACTGGTTAGTCCCCTTGGAATTCCCATGGGGTCAGGACACAGTTGTCATTGTAGTTGTGATTGTTTCCAGGGTTAACTGTCATAAGCACGAGGGAAGGTAGTTTAAAGCGATCTGGATATTCAGTTTTGTGTTCCTGCTAATTATGTGACCAATTTCCTACCTGGTGTTTGTTCAGAAGAGTGAAAAATATTTCAGGTGCTCTCTCTTCTAAACCGTGGCAAACCACACTCTGTTAAGACAGCACAGAAGACTGAGGAAGAAAAACGTTTATGAAACATTTTGCTTTGGTCTGCCTCATGAGAAGTAATTGTACTGGTCATTTCTTTTTCCACTGAATTGACTGGTGTCTCTGACATGGTGCCTGGTGAGCCACACTGGCTTTATTATCTCCTCTTTTCTCCTTTTTCAGGGTCTTTGGCCATAGTCCAGAGAGAATTACACTTTCCCTGTTAGAAGCTCACGTCTTTCTTCTCTTGGGCCACTTCCATGCCAGCCTCTTCCACACTGCCTTCCTGAGGTCGGGCACCGGCATGGAGCTCTGTTTCCTCTTCTCCTCCCTAGGGTCGTAATCTGGCTTTCCCCTGATCTTTCTATTGTTTCCACTTCACCAGTGATTTCCTCCTTTTTGTCCAGAAATAGGTCAGGATAAGAAATTCCTCTTTTTTACTTCTTTAGACTTCTTGTTAACAAAGTAAAACAAGGTTAAACACCTTATTCAATGCTCAGCCTTTTTTTTGAGTCTGGGTCTTGCTCTGTTGCCCAGGCTGGAGTACAGTGGCTCCAGCGATTCCTTTACCTCGGCCTCCCGAGTAGCTGGGACCACAGGTGTGTGCCATCGCACCCAGCTAAATAAAAAAAAAAAAATCTGTAGAGACAAGGTCTCGCCATGTTGTCCAGGCTGATCTTGAACTCCTGGGCTCAAGTAATGCATCCTCCTCGGCCTCTCAGAGTGCTGGGATTACAGATGCGAGCCCCGGCACCCACCCAAAGGTCAACCTTTAACTGCCTGAAACTTTCGATAGGTCAGAGAGATGAATTCTCTCGTTCACAACACACAGTCAGAATTACCTTGGCTTAGGAGTTCAGGGCACAGAACATTGGTGTCACACAAACATGGGCTCAAAAGCTGCAATTACGCAGTGGCATTTTGTGGATTTTTTTGGTAGAGATGGAATCTCACGAGGTTGCCCAGGCTGGTCTCAAACTTCTGGCCTCAAGCAGTCCATCCACCTCAGCCTCCCAAAGTGTTGGGATTACAGGCGTGTTTTGAGTCTTGGGGACCAACTGGGATTGTCTTCCCCTCTTTATCTTCTGTATCCAATCCAGCCCCTGCCATTTCTTTTTTTTCTGGTGCCTCTTGCGTTTGCTCTTTTCTCTCCTTTCCCATTCTCTTACATTAAACAACACTCCTCTTGTCATGCTCCAAAACCTCAAATCTGAACTTTTACTTCTCCTATCGCAGAAACTTCCCACACTCTAACTGCTTATTACCCCTCTACCTTCACCACCAAATTGTAAATTCTGTGAGAACAGAAACCCAGTTTTTTGAATTTGCTGTTGTGTCCTCAATTTCCATCACAAACACGTTCTAATATTGACAGTTGAATGAATGAATGAATGAGTTCTTGAATTGCTACGACTGCCTTTAAAATTCCAGTTAACTTTTGCTGCCATCAGCAGGTGAATATAAAACACTGTTCATAGGCCAAGGCACCGTGACTCATACCTGTTATCCCAGCACTTTAGGAGGCCGAGGTGGGAGGATGGCTTGAGGCCAGAAGTTTGAGACCAGCCTGGGCAACATAGTGAGACCCCATCTCTACAGAAAAATTATATAAAATAAAATAAAATTAAGGCTAGGTGCAGTGGCTCATGCCTGTAATCCCAGCACTTTTGGAGGCCAAGGAGAGAGGATCACACGAGGTCAGGAATTCAAGACGAGGCTGGCCAACATGGTGAACCCCATCTCTACGAAAAATACAAAAATTAGCCGGGCGTGGTGGCGTGCATCTGTAATCCCAGCTACTTGGGAGGCTGAGGCAGGAGAATCACTTGAACCCAGGAGGCAGAAGTTGCAGTGAGCCAAGATCGTGCCACTGAACTCCAGCCTGGGTGACAGAGTGAGACTCCATCTCAAAAAAAAAAAAAAAAAAAGTTTTATTGCAATGCTCAGGGCAGTATGCATTGTTATAGAAAATAAGTAATTTGTATTTTTTAAATGTGTAATTCATCCCACCACTTTGGGAGACTGAGGCAGGCAGATCACGAGGTCAAGAGACCGAGATCACCCTGGCCAATATGGTGAAACCCCGTCTCTACTAAAACTGCAAAAAATTAGCCAGGTCTGGTGGCAGGCACCTGTAATCCCAGCTATTCAGGAGACTGAGGCAGGAGAATTGCTTGAACCTGGGAGGCGGAGGTTGCAGTAAACCGAGATTGTGCCACTGCACTGCAGCCTGGGCGACAGAGTAAGACTCCGTATCAATCAATAAATAAATACATAAATAAAATAAGTAAATAAAATACTGTTCATGATATTCTGCTCCCGTGAGAGGTTCGCTGTTCCTCCTCACTGTGGCCCTATGACTTCCTGTCTGGCACCTTCAGTTGCTTCTTTGTGTCCTCCTTGGATGCCTTTTCTTTTGCCCTCTTACCAAAACCAACTCATTCGTGAGGATCCAGCTCGAGCTCTACCTCCTCTGTGAAGCCCCTGAACCTTTCCCACCAACACAGACCTCTGCCTTCTTTGATCATCTGCTGGTCTTCAGTTTAATGCTTTAACGATTCCACTTGTATGGGTCCTGTCTACCCGCCCAGTTTAGGTATCTTTGAAGATAGCTATACTTTTTAGGTCTTTTGCATCTTCCACACTTCTCATCTAAAGCTGCGTCCACTCTGACTCGTCTTCCTAACCTGCCAGGCAGGGTCTTTTTGTATTTTAAAATTTAAGTAGGCTAGGTCGGGCATGGTGGCTCATGCCTGTAATCCCAGCACTTTGGGAGGCCAAGGCGGGTGGATCACAAGATCAGGAGATCGAGAGCATCCCGGCTAACACGGTGAAACCCCGTCTCTACTAAAAATTACAAAAAATTAGCTGGGCGTGGTGGCAGGTGCCTGTAGTCCCAGCTACTCCGGAGGCTGAGGCAGGAGAACAGCGTGAACCCGGGGGGCGGAGCTTGCAGTGAGCCAAGATCGCACCACTGCACTCCAACCTGGGCGATAGAGCAAGACTCCGTCTCAAGAAAACAAACAAACAAATAAACAAAACAAAAAACTTTAAGTAGGCTGTGTGGAGGTTGAGTTAGCTATCTTCGGAACAAGCCTTAGATATCTTTTTCTGTTTGAAGGGAATTTATTTTCTTTTTCTCCAATTTTGTTACTGTGAGTGCATGAAGGCATATTCAACAGCTCCTTGCTCCCCTGCCTCTCCTGCACCATCCAACATCTCACTGCAGTATCCAGCAACCCACAGGCCTGCTGGGTGTGGTGGATAGTCCCCAAGATCAGGTTATCCGTGTCAAAATATTGAGTGGCTGATGAGTTCTCCAAGTAGGCACTAGAGCCTGCGAGAGCACTCAGAAGTTTCTGCACAAGCTCAGTGGATTTGAGTCCTCATCATGGTTCACTGCTATGTAAGTCAAGGGTTGGTCATAGGTCCTGCCTTGGACCATCATTTCAGGAAGCAGGGCAGCTACAGCAGCAGTCCTCAACGTTTTCAGCACCAGGGATCCATTTTGTGGAAGACAATTTTTCCATAGATTGGGGGTAGGGGTTGGTTTTGGGATGAAACTGTTCCACCTCAGACCATCGGGGATTAGATTCTCATAAGGAGCACACGACCTAGATCCCTGGTATGCGCAATTCACAGTAGGGTTTGTGCTCCTGTGAGACCTAATTCCTCTGCTGCTCTGACAGGAGGCGGTAAAGCCGGCTTGCCTGCTGCTCACTTCCTGCTGTGTGGCCCCATTCCTAACGGGCCATGGACAGGTACCAGTCTGTGACCAGGGGGTTGGGGACCTCTGAACTACAGGCTCCTCCACCTGCACAAGATCTGAGAAGTCAGACTCTCCAGAACAAGAGGGGCAGGAACTTCCTTGTCTCACTGAGGATCTTCGGTCAATCCCAACTCTCAGTGGGCATATGACTCACATGGTGATCATCTTAAAATGCAGATTCTGAGTCAGTGATTTGAGATGGGACCTGAAATCTTGCAATTGTAACAGGCTCCCAGATGATACCAATGGCGATGTTGATGCTGCCTGTCTGTGGACCACACTTTGAGTAGCAAGGGTCTAGAATATGGACATCTCCTTTTCCAGTGAACTTTAGCAAGTAAGGAGCATTTCAAGGAAGACTCCTCCCATGCACACTGTCATTAGTTGCAGCATCTCTTGTAGCAATCAGCCTAAATCTGTCTTTAATTCTTTTTCAAACAGCGTATCCAAGTTTTGCAATCATAAGCACCAGCCAGGAGAATATATATTCCATGCAGAAAATGGTGATGCCCAATTTACCAAAATGTTCACGCTGAATATAAGAAGTAAGTTAAATTGCCAAGAATTTCATTTTTATTTTTTAATTCCTTAATTCTTTATTAGTCTTAACTAGGAAGAGCTAAGTAATGGCTTAGAAGGGGTACTACAAAACTGTGTTTGTATGCTGAAGTGTTTTGAAATTTTACTCTAATATCCACTGGCATTGATCATATATCTCTTTATTTTTTATGTTATTTTGTTTTGTTTCATTTTTAACACCAGGTCTCACTCTATCATGCAGTCTGGGGTGCCATGGCACAATCATAAATCCCCATAGCTTCAAACTCCTGGGCTCACGTGAGCCTCCTAAGTAAGCCTCCCACGTAGCTGGGACTACAGGCACGGTCCCCCATGCTTAGCTAATTTTAAAACCATTTTTGTAGAGAGGGGGCCTGCCTTTGTTGCCCAGGTTGATCTCAAACTCCTGGCCTCAAGGGATCCTCATACCTTGGCCTCCCAAAGCGCTAGGATTACAGGCGAGAGCCACTGCACCTGGCCATGTATCTCTTTCTGTGTGTATCCTCAGAGGCTGAAAGACTTACTTCACATTGTCTCTGAATAGGAATTCGTGTTGTGACTTTATTGATTTTAGTATTTTGAAAGGGCATGTTAAGGAAAGGCTGAAAGTCATTTTCTCTCTCATTTATTTGTTTTTAATAATTTTCATTTCTTTGGCTTACAAAACAATGAGAAGTCCAACTTCTTCTGAAGCTGAGAATCATTTTAAGTCGTGCAAGCAGGTGGAGGTCTGTACCTCAGCTCTCTCCAGGGGGAGGCTGGCAGTAGGAAAATGGTGTGTAGCAGAGAGGTGTCAACGCTGCCAAACCAGAAGGTTGCATGGCAAGGAGGAAAGAAGACATTACCAGAGGTCTGGAGTCGTTCTGAGTGAGACATCCTCCCAGAAGCACAAACTGCCCTGGAGTAAATGGGTAGCCTGTACTGTAGGCAGCTTTGAAACTATTTCCAGAAAGTACCGTGCTCCATGAGCTTATTTTATTTTATTATTTTCAGAGACAGGGTCTTGCTATGTTGCCCAGGCTGGTCTTGAACCCCTCGGCCCAAGTGATCCTCCCACCTCGGCCTCACAAAGTGTTGGTATTATAGGAGCGAACCACTCTGTCCAGCCAGTGAGCTTATTTCACACGTTTTCTTTTCTGTAGGGAAACCTCAAGTGCTCGCGGAAGCATCAGCGAGTCAGGCGTCCTGTTCCTCGGATGGATACCCATTACCATCTTGGACCTGGAAGAAGTGTTCAGACAAGTCTCCCAAGTAATAAGGACATTGATGTCTCTTATAATGGAAGAACATAAAACTCTGACGTATTGACTCTTTCATGCACACAGTTTAAGAAGAAATGATGAAATATTTAAAATGCTAATGTTCTCAACCATAATTCTCAATGGTCATAGATTGTTTCTGATAGCTTATACTGGATGAATCTCTTTTAGAACTCGCTGCAGAAACCCTAACTTCCCATCTGATGACAGCTCACCTGTCTAAATTCTTTGCCATTTTGTTTTTTTCAGCTGCACAGAAGAGATCCCAGAAGGAGTCTGGAATAGAAAGGCTAACAGGAAAGTGTTTGGACAGTGGGTGTCCAGCAGTACTCTAAACATGAGTGAAGCCATAAAAGGGTTCCTGGTCAAGTGCTGTGCATACAATTCCCTTGGCACATCTTGTGAGACGATCCTTTTAAACTCTGCAGGTACAACAGTTGCTATTGTAATACTCCACCATCAGGAATTCCCCACGAGAAGTTAGTCCCCATCGCTGACTTTTACTTGGGGAATTTTACAGGAGAGTATAGGGTCAGTGTGTGAGAAAAGGTTTCTTGAGTCAGGCAAGAATCCCCAGACAGACTGTTTCGCAGGTTGGGGCGGAGTCCTGCCTGTGCCCTTGTGACTCATCTGTCACCGTGATGGGCAGAAGCAGAAACTCCCGGTGTGGCGAATCTCCATGGAAAGATCAAACTTTAGAGACTCAGATTTTGTCACTTGGAGTCTCTGTCATCTTCCCTTTTGATTAGCTTCCTTATTTGCCCTTAGCCTGCTGTTTTATAATTTTTGGTTTGCTTTTTAGAGCCCTCCTAAGTTAAACAATTCTGAAACCTGGCTGCCCACCCTAATAATTAGGATCACCAGCCTCACAAAACTGACTTCTCCACTTTTATGTGAGACCTTCCTAAAAGGGATATGAACTTCTTTTTTCTCTGATTTGTACATCCTGTAGGTTTAAATTCATGGTTTTTGTTGTTGTTGTTGTTTTTGAGATGGAGTCTCGCTCTGTTGCCCAGGCTGGAGTACAATGGCGTGATCTTGGCTCACTGTAACCTCTGCCTCCAGGGTTCAAGCGATTCTCCTGCCTTAGCCTCCCAAGTAGCTGGGATTACAGGCACCTGCCACCATGCTCAGCTAATTTTTGTATTTTTTTTGTAGAGATGGGGTTTCACCATGTTGCCTGGGCTGGTCTCTAATTCTTGGATTCAAGTGATCCTCCCACATTGGCCTCCCAAAGTGCTGGGACTGCAGGCGTGAGCCCTCGTGCCTGGCCCAGATGTAATTCTTGAAACCCTAGTAAATGGTTTTAAAGAATGGATTCAGAATAATCTGCAATTTCTAGGGAGGAAATGTGTCCTTTACAGGGACATTGCCTGATTGTCTGTGGGCAGTAGAGTATATGCAGAATGGTTGTGAGGACTGACAATGATTATTACTGAAACAGGATGTGAGAGATTATAACGAGTTGTCCACTATTTATAAAGTTGCACAGGAATTGTGTTTCATCATCGCTGAGTGACACTCTTTGGTTGCAGGCCCCTTCCCTTTCATCCAAGACAGCATCTCATTCTATGCAACAATTGGTGTTTGTCTCCTCTTCATTGTCGTTTTAACCATGCTGATTTGTCACAAGTACAAAAAGGTAAAAGCAAAGGTAAAAATTCATTATTCTTTCCTCCATCTGCAGAACTGCCTATTCCTAACTGACTCATCATTTCATCTCTGAAGCAATTTAGGTATGAAAGCCAGCTACAGATGGTACAGGTGACCGGCTCCTCAGATAATGAGTACTTCTACGTTGATTTCAGAGACTATGACTATGATCTCAAATGGGAGTTTCCAAGAGAAAATTTAGAGTTTGGTAAGAGTGGAATGGGCCAAATGTTTCCACAGCATTTCTTTTCCATTGGGAAATCTTTCAAATGCACGTACTCACCATTTATCTTTGCAGGGAAGGTGCTAGGATCAGGGGCTTTTGGAAAAGTGATGAACGCAACAGCTTATGGAATTAGCAAAACAGGAGTCTCAATCCAGGTTGCGGTCAAAATGCTGAAAGGTACAGTATAGTGGAAGAACAGCAACAAAGATGCACAAAAATGGGAGGCACGGTTTCCCACCCATGCCTTCTTCTTTTCCATCCTTTCAATGGTTACTATTTGCCGTGTTTCGAGGCTAAAAATGGAGTGGATTGGGATGAGTGTCAAGCCAGTCATGAGTACAAAATTCAAGTCATAAATACAAAACTCCACCTCTTCTTCCATTTCTCTCTTTGTTTATTTTTATTTTATTTTATTTTATTGAGATAGGGTCTCACTCTGTCACCTAGGCTGGAGTACAGCAGTGTGATCATGGCTCACTGCAGCCTCCGCCCCCTGGGCTCAGGCTCCTCAGCAGCTGGGGATACAGGCGCGCACCACCACGCGCAGCTGATTTTTGTATTTTTGGTGAAATGGGGTTTCACCATGTTGCCTAGGCTGATCTGAGCTCAAGCTATCTGCCCGCCTTGGCCTCCCAAAGTGCTGGGATTACAGGTGTGAGCCACTGTGCCAGGCCTATTTAGTTTTTATAGGCTTTGATATTTGGGGATACAGTTGCCACAGGCAGAAGTTCTTTCTTCCGTCTGTGTTGTTGTTGTTTTGTTTTATTTTTAGAGACAGGATCTTGCTCTGTTGCCCAGGCTAGAGTGCTGTGATCATAGCTCACTGCAACTTCGACCTCCTTGGCTCAAGCGATCCTCTCACCTCAGCCTCACGGGAGTGTGCCAATACAATTGGCTAATTTTGTTTTTATTTTTTTGTAGAGATGGTGTCTCACCATATTGCCCAGGCTGGTTGCAAACTCCTGGCTCAAGTGAGGCTGTCTTGGCCTCCTAAAGTGCTGGAATTACAGGTGTGGGTTGAAACAGACTCTGGGTAGGACAGTAAATTGGGGCCCTTCGTATCCTCACTTCATTGCTCCATCCATTCCGATCTGGCGTCCAGCCTCATTATTGGCCTCCCCGTTACCACCGCTGACTCAGCAAAAGCACCTCCAGCTGGCTCTCTTGATAAGGTCAACAGTGACCTCAAACCAAGCCTAATGGATATTTGTCAGTCCTCATTACTTGATTGTTCAGCGTGAATTGATGCTGTTGACTCTTCTCTCCATCTAGAAACTTTCTTTCTTTGGGTTTTGTGTCGCCGTATTCTGGTTTTCCTCCCACCCCCCTGCCCTTCTCAGTCCTTTGTGAGCTCATCTTCTTCCATCCAGCTTTGGTTGCTGTGGCTGTTTTTGAAACACAGCCTCGCTCTGTCACCCAGGCTGGAGTTCGGTGGTGTGATCTCAGCTCACTGCAACCTCCACTTCCCAGGCTCAAGCCATCCTCCCACTTCAGGCTCCTGAGTAGGGGGAACTACAGGCTTGCGCCACCATGCCTAGCTAATTATTGTATTTTTGGTAGAGATGGGGCTTTGCCATGTTGCCTAGGCTCCATCCAGCTTTTTAGGGGGCATCCCTGTAGGCTTGTTCCTGGACCGCCTTGCATTTCTGCTCCACACACTCAACACAGTCCATCCCCACTATGCCCGTGATGTCCTTCCATACACCAATGGCCCTCATGCTTGTATCTCGCTTCGGAGCTTCAGGTTCACGTATTAAATGTTTGGATGTCTCAAAGTTCCCTTTAACACAGTGTATCCAAGGTGAACTCCCCTAACGCTGGTCCTGCACCAGCAGTCCTCTCTGTGACTGGTAATGAATGCCAGTGAATAAATAACCACATTCTATATAGTTGGGCACACTAGGAACCCGTGACTTTTCCTTGACACCTTCCTCTTTCTAACACCCTGTGAGCCAATCCTATCAGGTTTCCGCTTAGTGTCTCTTGATTCCATCCTTGTCCCTCTATCTCTATTACCACCACCCTAGTTCAAGGCTCTCTCCTGGACGAAAGCTTCCAAAGCAAGTTCCTGTATCCACTCTTGCCTCCCTTTGGTTTCTCCATGCTGAGGTCCAAGTGACAGTGATGAAAGGCTAAGCAGATCAAATGGCTTTCCTACTTCGCATTTCCTCCACCACCCGCGTGGCTGGGCCGCCGCCGCCTCCCCACCTCTTGTTCTCAGCACCCAGAGCACTGGCCTTCTTTCAGTTCCCCCAGCACTGTCCTCCCGCCCACTGTGGGGCCTTTGCACAAGTGGATCCTTCTGCTTCCCCTTCCCCTTTCATGTAGGTATCTCCCACTGCAACCTCAGATCTCAGCTTAAACACCACTTCCTCTGTCTCACACCACAGACAATATTGAAGCCCTTACAATATGCGACGTTAGCTTTCTGCAGACTTTCCCCCGTAGAATCCGTCACCTTTGTCACGACATGTGTTTAATATCCAGTTGCTGTCCCATCTGTCCAGCAGCCCCTGTGCCTCATGAGGGCAGGGTCTGTGTCTGTGGTGCTGTGCCCTCTCCTTTCTCGACCTCTGCGCACTCTTTCACAACCCTCGGCACCGTTCTCCTCCCCCTCCACCATGGCCAGCTCCCGTTTTTCTTCAGGACTCAGTTTAGACATTGAATGCTCCTTTCCCCACCCCTCAAAGGCTAAGGTAGCTGTCCCTTTTGACCCTACAGAACCCCTGCATTCCTTTGCCAGTTTGCATTTTTTCTTTTCGTTTTTTTTTGAGATAGGGTCTCAGTCTGTCACCCAGGCTGGAGTGCAGTGGAGTGATCATAGCTCAATGCAAGCTTGAAGTCCTAGGCTGAAGTGATGGTCTGTCCATGGCCTTTCCAGGAGCTGGAACTACACGCATGCACCATCACGCCCAGCTAATTTTTATTTTATTTTATTTTTAAGTAGAGATGAGCTTTCGCTATTTTGCCCAGGCTGGTCTCAAACTCCTGGGTACCAGCAATTCTCCCGCTTGCCTCAGCCTCCCACGATGTTGGGATTACAGGCCCACACCTTGCCTGCCATATTGCATTTATGGCACTGTATTGTAATGGCTTATTTACTTCTCTGCCTTCTCCAGGAGACTCTAAACTCCAGGAAGACAAGAGTTGTGTATTGTTTATCCTTCATTCCCCAGCGTCTAGGATATTGGCTCTTACACAGTAGGCACTCAATAAATACTTATTGAATGACTGAATGAAAGAGGTAATAGTATATGAAAGTGTTTAGAAGAAGCAAAGCATGCCAAAAAATATAAGATATTATTTTAGCCATGAGGAATAGGACATGAACAAGTGAAAGCCCCGGATCCCTGTCCAGCGTGAAGCTGAAGATACGATGTATTCCGGGGTCCCAGTGCCCACAGGAAATCCCACCCCCAAGCCAAAATCTTGGAAACAAGGATACCCCTGAGAGCTTGCCCAAGCCAAAATAGAGGATGTCAGCACTGGAGAAGCTGCTATACAGGTTAGGATGCCCTCCTGCACAAAATAATGGAATCTGGAAATCGAACCAAATCTTCACTGAATGTAAAGAAGAGTTACTGTATCTGGAAGAAAAAATCCGTTCACAGAGGGGTGGTGCCTGGAGCCTGGAGAGGGAAGTCCAGAGACCCTGCCCTTGCCCCTGTGGCTGCCCGGGCTCCCCTGACCAACTGCACATCAGCCACAATGACAGGACCCCTGGATTCTGTGGTGACTTTCCTCGCACTGTGCTTCTAAGCCAGGTTATGAGCACAGTTTGCTGAGCCCTCTAGAATTCTCCCTAGAGAGAGAATGCATTGGCCAACCAATACATTCCAGCCTGCTTGGCAGTTTTATTTCTCAATGTCAATTAATGGGTCTCTTGAGCACTTGGTAGTGGGAATTAGTTCTCTTTGACCTCCTCCCATTGGACTTGCTGGCAAATCTAATGTTCTAGACCTGAGGGCCACGGGTTAGTCAACCACGCTCATGGCACTGCTATCTTATCTCTCTCTGACTGCAACAAATCCAAGAGTTCAAACAAACAAAAAGCGTATTTCTCCCTTCTGTTAACTTATACTGAGGAGGAAAAGCATGTGTTATTATTTTGTTTGCTAGTTTTGAGGGCCAACTGTAAGGATTTTTACTTTGGTAGGTAGAGGAAAGTCCTGTTGAAAGCTGCATCACCAGATTCAATATTTATACTATAGCCTTTGTTTTGTTTTGTTTTGTTTTGTTTGAGACAGAGTCTCACCTGTCACCCAGGCTGGAGTGGTGCAGGGGCTCGATCTCGGCTCACTGCAACCTCCACCTCCCCAGTTCAAGGGATTCTCTTGCCTCAGCCTCCTGAGAAGCTGGGATTACAGGTGTGCGCCAGCATGCCCAGCTAATTTTTTGTATTTTTAGTAGAGACACCGTGTTGGCCAGGTTGGTCTTCAACTCCTGACCTCAAGTGATCCACCCACCTCAGCCTCCCAAAGTGTTGGGATTACAGGTGTGAGCCACTGCGCCCAACCCTATACTACACTCTGAATTCTGCCTTAGGCTGAGCATGGTGGCTCATACCTGTATTCCCAGCACTTTGGGAGGCGGAGTTGGGAGGAGTGCTTGAGTCTAGGAGTTTGAGACCAGCCTGGGCAACATGGTGAGACCCCATCTCTACAAAAAATAAAAAAAATTAGCGGGGCATGATGGTCTGCACTTGTAGTACTAGTTACTTGGAGAACTGAGGTAGGAGGATCACTTGGGCCCAGGAGGCAGAGGCTACAGTGAGCTGAGACTGCGCCACTGCACACTAGCCAGGGTGACAGAGTGAGACCCTGTGTCAAAAAAAAAAAAAAAAAGAAAAAAAGAAAAAAAAGAAAAAGGAGAAATTCTGTCTTCAAGCACAGGATATTTTTTGTTTATTTATTTATTTATTTTGAGATGGAGTTTCACTCTTGTTGCCCAGGCTGGAATGCAGTGGTGTGATCTCAGCTAACTGCAACCTCTGCCTCCCACATTCAAGCAATTCTCCTGCCTCAGCCTCCCAAGTAGCTGGGATTACAGGTGCCTGCCACTACGCCAGGCTAATTTTTGTATTTTTGGTAGAGACGAGGTTTCACCATGTTGGCCAGGCCAGTCTCAAACTCCTGACCTCAAGTGATCTACCCACCTCGGCCTCCCAAAGTGCTGGGGTTACAAGCATGAGCCACCACGCCCGGCTTTTCTCATAATTTTGAATTTAAATAAATAATGCAGATTGACTCTGAGCTGAGAAAATTTTTAATTTATTTAATGACATAAAATTTGTATTTCACTTGAGTTTTATGTTTTTAATGCTCCTTTCTTTGGCAGAAAAAGCAGACAGCTCTGAAAGAGAGGCACTCATGTCAGAACTCAAGATGATGACCCAGCTGGGAAGCCACGAGAATATTGTGAACCTGCTGGGGGCGTGCACGCTGTCAGGTAACCCACTTCCATGAAAATCACCTCATCAAAAAGACTGTAGCCTGATGACAAAGAGGATGTTTGTTCTCTCTCTCTTTTTAATTCTTTGTCTTTTCTCAGTCACAGTGTGAACTCTCAAACCCAAGTGAAATTAGACACTGAGCACTCTGTAAATCAGAGGGGTCAAAATAAAGAATGTCTCATTCACCTGCTTTGTCAGGATATATTGCATAATTCTCACCTGCTTAAAACAACAACAGCAACATTGCAAGTACATTTGGTGGTGTCTGTGCTTCTCCCCCAGCTTGGAAGCTGGTGCACAGGCGTGGTGAGAGTGGTTACAGAGCCTGGCCACTGCCCCAGTTGGGCTGCTGTCAAATACGGCACAGCCCAGCTAGGATATCAGACTTTACTTTCCCAGAGTTCTCTGGGGCATGCCCTCTGATCCTCTCTCTTCTGCCTAGAAATGCCCAAATGATGTGCCCAAGGTTCATTCTTTCTGCAGCAGCAGGCCTGGGGCTGGTACTGAAAGAAAGGAAAAAGAAGAAAGTGAATCTGAGAGAGGACTGGGAATATATTTCTCTCTTCTCAAGCAAACTGCAAGTTAGCATATAGTTACCAAGTGTTCGCTTATAATACACAGCTAGAACATTACTTTCAGTTGCAAACTGGAGAATCCGGGAGGCCAGTGGTATTGGTGAGGCCACATGTACAAACAAAGGCCACAGAGAAAGTCAAGAAGATGATGCTTTCCAAAGGAATTTGAGCAAAAGCTGAAACTGAATTTAAAGTATAAGAAGAGATAGGCTCAGAAAAAGTTGTACTGTCCCCAAGTCAGTAGAGAACTGAGCCCTCGTAAGAGTATGTTGTCTGTTACATAGACTTCTGAAATAACAGTTTGCTTTGTGTATGCCTATAATTGAAACTGTAACTATTTCAGGACCAATTTACTTGATTTTTGAATATTGTTGCTATGGTGATCTTCTCAACTATCTAAGAAGTAAAAGAGAAAAATTTCACAGGACTTGGACAGAGATTTTCAAGGAACACAATTTCAGTTTTTACCCCACTTTCCAATCACATCCAAATTCCAGGTAAGAGGCTGGGTCAGGGTTTCATAATTACACATCATAGAACGTAGACAAAGTGTGCTGTTCAAACACTTCGTTGACCAGTTTTTAAAGGCATGGTGTGGTCTGTGGGTCCTGCAACCTAGAGATTTCCTGAATCTTTGCTATAGTTTCCCTGTTGACATGGAACAATGAGCCCCGTCCCTTTCCTTCAGTACAGTTACTATAGCTGAGCTAGCCTCTTTCCACCCATGCCTGCATCACACCCTAGACGCCTATTTAGTTTGGGGAAAGGTGCATTATTCAGTCTTTCAGGACACCTGGTTGCCTCACAGGTATTGGTAGAAAGAATGAAGACTTTTTCCAAAGTCCTTAACGTATTCAAAGAGAATAGCTCAGGTCCTGGGACTACTGCGCAGGAGAAAGCTGAACTGAAATTGGATTCTAAAATATTAGGATGGATTGATTGACACGTGATGGGGACACAGTAAAGTAGCAGTAACCCTGTCTCCGCTCTCTGTGTATCCTCCGCATCTGCGGGGATCCTGAGAGATGCTTGGTCCTGCAGGGATTTATTGCTTTAGCGGGCATAAGTGAGGGCTGTAGGAGTTTGCTGGGATCTCCTCCTCATCCTTGAACTTTCTTGCTAATTACTTGAGCATCATGGCTTTGTGCCTTGGAGCATTCTTTTTTTTTTTTTTTTTTGAGACAGAGTTTCACTCTGTTGCCCAGGCTGGAGTGCAATGGTGTGATCTTAGCTCACTGCAACCTCTGCCTCCCGGGTTCAAGTGATTCTCTTGCCTCAGCCTCCTAAGTAGCTGAGATTACTTAGGCACGCACCACCATGCCCAGCTAATTTCGTATTTTTAGTGGAGACAGGGTTTCACCATGTTGGTTAGGCTGGTGTCGAACTCCTGACCTAAGGTGATCCGCCCACCTAGGCCCCACAAAGTGCTGGAATTAGTGAGCCACCGTGCCTGGCCGAGCCTTGGTGCATTCTTATTTCCCTACCTGTGTGGAAGCTCTCCCTTATTCTGAAGGGTATTTGTTTGTCAGAGACTTCTTTCTTTACCAGGGACTTTTTAGGGATACATTTGAGAGTCCCACCTTTGTTTTCTTAGAATGTAAGTTTTATTGCAGGCCTCTGGCCTTCAGGGTCTGACACAGACACCCAGTGTCTTAAAGCCACCAGGCTCCACGGAGATTCCCATGCACATTCGTGTGCAGCTGCCCTTAACCCGTGCAGGCCTGTCACACCAGTCCTCCCCTTTACACTCATTTCTCAGCTCATTGTCTGGAAATGAGAACTCTATAAAGCCACTCACATTCTGGAACAGTGGGGCTTACCCTACCGAGTCAGATGTGTGTGACCAGCATCCACTGGTCAGTACTTAGCCTCTTTGATTCATTCTGTTCACGGGAATATTAAATACACTGAAATTATTCCTTTTGGAATATTTGTGGTCTGAAAGCATGAAGCCATTTCCTAAAGATATGTAAATTGTCAGTTGAGTTAAACTCATCTATTGGAATACATTGAATCATGATCTATTCATAATTCCTACAGAGTTCCTCAGGGAAGAACTTTTACATACCTTAAAAGATATTTGTATTATTGCTATTTATTAATTTCACAGTAAAAAGAAATGAGCTTTGCAAAGGCAAACTGGAAAAAAGAAGGATGGGGAAACGCTTACAGGACTCTCGGGAAGATCTGTATTATGTGAGGGAAGGTGGGCTGAGTTCAGACACCAAAGAATGAGATCGATGTGAGTCCTGGTTCCACTCGAATCATATTTATCTCACGTGCCTAATTTCTCTTTTACAAAATGCCACCCATCTTGTAGGTTGTGGCAAGGATTGAGTGAGGTCCTTTTTGAACTGTAAGATTCTCTACAGAAAACAGGGATTACTTTTATCTTAGACTGGCAAGCCCAGCTACACAGATGTTTTTAATGTACACAAAAAATGGACAAACGGATGGTGTGCTTTTAATTTAAAAGTCAGTTTATAACTGGAATCCATTTATTTGATGAATTATATTTTTAAAATAAAATGTCTGCTGAGAAGAAGAATGTAAATAATGAAAAAACAAATTTTTTTAACAGCATGCCTGGTTCAAGAGACGTTCAGATACACCCGGACTCGGATCCAATCTCAGGGCTTCATGGGAATTCATTTCACTCTGAAGGTAATATTTTATTCTAAAGTAGTAGCACTTTAAAATGGAAATGAATGCCAAAGTTTTATGTTAGCTATTTTTTTTAAAAGTGTATAAACACAAAAGCATTTTAAAATTTGTTAATTGTCAGATGATAGTTTGTATAATGTAGATTTTACGTCAACATTCAACTAATAAACACTGAGGACTATTTTATTTGGTCAGATTATTCATTTAAAGTCATATACTGATTAGAGCCATCTTATTACCTGAGAAGTGGAAGAGATAATGAGTTCCGAAGTTACATAGAATTTGGATTAACTTCTGCTTACTTCGCTTTCTGACTGGATGACTTTGGACAAGTTATGTGACCACCAGAATCACAATTTTCCTATTTACAAAATAGGCCTAACACTACCTTCCTCACAGGACTGTTAGAAGGAGTAAATGAGGGGCTGGGCGTGGTGGCTCATGCCTGTAATCCTAGTACTTTGGGAGGCCGAGCCAGGCAAGTCACCTGAGGTCAGGAGTTCAAGACCAGTCTGGCCAACATGGCAAAACTCTGTCTCTACTAAAAATACAAAAATTAGCTGGGTATGGTGGTGCACGCCTACAATCCCAGCTGCTTGGGAGGCTGAGGCAGGAGGATCACTTGAACCCAGGAGGTGAAGGTTGCAGTGAGCCGAGATTGCACCACTGTATTCCAGCGTGGGCAACAGAGCGAGACTTTGACTCAAAAAAAAAAAAAAAAAAAAAAAAGGAAGGAGTAAATGGAAGAATATGAAATGTACAATACAGTTTATAAAATGGGATAGGTGGGCCAGGCGCGGTGGCTTATGCCTGTGATCCCAGCACTTTGGGAGGCCGAGGCAGGTAGATCACAAGGTCAGGAGATTCTGGCTAACACGGTGAAACCCTTTTGTACTAAAAATACAAAAAATTAGCATGAGCCTATAGTCCCAGCTACTCGGGAGGCTGAGGCAGGAGAATCCAGTTGCAGCGAGTCGAGATCGTGCCATGGCACTCCTGGGCGACAGAGTGAGACTCGTCTCAAAAAAAAAAAAAAAGGAATCAACGCTTAATTAATATTAATTCCTTTCCCACTGTGACAGCCCTACCTAGTACAAAAGGGAAGTATCTAAAACTCCTGACTAATCAATCAGGAGGTCATCGGTCATCAAAGCAATTCCAAAGTTTATCTCTAACCAAAACAAGTTTCCAGTGACCCTTGGTAAGCAGAGTAAACAGGTCAGCTCTAATGCTGCTGCGAAGATAATGCCATAGCTTCATGTGTATGTCTTAGCACCTCACCTAACTCTGGCTAGAATAACCTCCCCATAGAGATTTAATAAGACAACTTCTTAGGGTTTTGGCAAAAGTGAAGACTGGCTCTATTTTACAGATGAAATTGAATATGAAAACCAAAAAAGGCTGGAAGAAGAGGAGGACTTGAATGTGCTTACATTTGAAGATCTTCTTTGCTTTGCATATCAAGTTGCCAAAGGAATGGAATTTCTGGAATTTAAGTCGGTACGCTCCTTTTAAAGAAAAAACAAACCAAAAAAAACATTCGAAAAGATGTGCTTATATATTTTTTCTTGTTTGTTTTAACTCGTATCCCTTAAAGTCTACCTTTTCTCCCCCATTCGCTGTTGGAGTCACCTAGAATGTTACCTTGGCTCTTGGCTAATTGTGGTAGCATAAAGGCTTGGGATCCCCTGTGAGGTCACGGCTAGCACAGCCCTCCCAGCCTGCACAAAGTCCCCTGAAACTTCCCGGGCTGAAGGCGGAGATAGGAAGTCCTCAGAAATCCTTCCTCAAAACAAAGTATGGCATTGTCAGTCCCTTTCTGAACAGCTGTTCAGGTTGTGCCCTGCATGTGGGCATTCACTCGGGGGATGAGTGGAGGCTGAAACCCAGCCAGCCACCCTGCGTGTCTTTGTCTAATTTGCACCCTACGTGCTGTGGGCTGGCAGCAGCTCTGTAGGCTCACTGCCTCCTCTGTTGCTAACCCCAGATCCATTCAGGCTGTGTTGGTAAGGCCCTGGAGCCTGCCGTGAACCATGGTTTCTACCCCAATTTTACTTTCTTTTTGAACTGCCTTTCCGCCCACTGTTCTCTGTGATTTCAAACGTCTCCTGCCTATAAGCAGATCACAGCCCGCCGTCTGGCTACCTTCCTTCCTCGTTTGCTTGCCTTTCATTACCTTCTCTTTATTTCCCAAAATTCTTCCCCTTCATTTTTCTTGCAGTCTTCTAATCTCCTCCTCCTCTTCTCCTCCACTTCCTTCCCCTTGCGTCTTCTCTCCTCTTTTCTCTCTGAATTTGGAAAGATTACTTTCAATTGTATTTTGTTTTTTTCTTTTCCTTTTCTGGAGACAGAGTCTCGCTCTGTTGCCCAGGTTCGAGTGCAGTGGTGCGATCTCAGCTCACTACAACCTCTGCCTCCTGGGTTCAAGCAATTCTCATGCCTCAGCCTCCCATGTAGCTGGGACTCTGGGCGCGCACCACCATGCCTGGCTAATTTTTTGTATTTTAGTAGAGATGGGATTTCACCATGTTGCCCAGGCTGGTCTTGAACTCCCGAGCTCAAGCAATCCACCTGCCTCAGTCTCCCAAAGTGCTGGGATTAAAGGCATGAGCCACCGCACCCAGCCTTTTTCCTTTAAAAATTTACTGTCTCAGTCAGACGTTCATGGTGCGTGTCTGTAGCTCCAGCTACGTCGGAGGCCAAGGTGGGAGGATAGCTTGAGCCCAGGAGTTGGAAACTGCAGTGAGCTAGGATCGCACCACTGCACTCCATCCTGGGTGACAGAGCAAGACCCTTTCTGTAAAAAACAAAAAAATAGGTGGCTGGGC